CTTTATTCCTTGATAAAATCAAATGATTGTATTTCTACCCACAACCCACTACTGCTTTCTATATTTGATTCTAAGCTTAGTGCTTCTCTGAGGCTCTCTCAGGAAGTCACTTGTACACTGGTTGCCTTGACTCTTTCTGTCAGCTCCTTCCCACTTTCTTTCCATGTTCTAGGAACTCTTTCTTCAAAATGCGAACTCATGTTATTGTTTCTCTTTAGCTTTCCTGGAACTACTATACTTTCAATCTTTTAAAAAAAAGTGGGACCTTAGAGAAAGAGGGGAGGAACATATGTGTTCAGTTCTTCTTTTTAAGGGAACTGTGTGAAAGTCTTTGCTAAGAACTCAGGCTGATAAAAGACTTTTACATTAAAAACAATTAAAAAATAAATATCTTCTTTTAAAAAAATTCTTTCAGGTACTACACCACCAGGAATGGCTTACTGCTTTCCTTTCTACACAGGTTTCAGCCTCCTGATGTTTGGCAAAGCTCTAATCTCTGCTTACCAGCTCTTCTTAACAGCTTTCCCTCGCTAGATTTCTCTTACCAGAAATAGAAGGCAGACTATCCACCTAAAGCAGATGGCCAGTTCAGCCATTTTACCCAACTCAATAATTTCAGTTGTTTATGTTTTGCTTTTATTTTTTTTACTAAGTAGAGAGGTTTTATATGAAAGTCTAGTTTTCTTTACTTCTGAAAAGAGGGCCATGATTTTGTTAAATAAAATACACAGTTTGAGGCAAAAGACTGATTAATATATGGGCCATCATGATCCAAAAATAATATGACAGAAAAACCATACTGAAGTCTACTTTAATCACTAATATTTGGTTCATTATCAACATGCTGAAAACTGACAAGTCATTTTCACATATCACAAAATTTCATAAGAGTCAGAAGAGTTATCAGACATCAGGGACAAGTCTTTAAATCTCTGTCCCTAAATCTATCTTGCCCAAGGCTGCATACCAAAAGAGATAAAGTAAATAAACAACAACGCTTTGGCACTAATTACAAAGCAAATGTTCTGTTTCTGTGTCAGAAAGTAAGCCCAAAGAGAGGACTGGTATTGTAGACATGTATTCTACTAATGAATCAGCAAGAAGAGATAAGCTATAAACTCCTCTCAGCATCTAAAGTCTAGGCTTGGAGCCAGTGGATTCTTAAGGTTTGTGTGGAACAACACACACCTCAACAGCCAACACAGAGGGTAGTTAATTTAAAGGCCATTCTCTCCACGCAGATGTTTGGGTTGTCTAAGATGTGTGTGCGTGTTGGCAAATTTACGGTTAGGGGAGTAGAATATTCCCTTCTCTAAAGCTTATGGCTGAGTATTGATACCTCTCCAGTTCTTCTACCCCACACCTGGTAGTTATTTAAGAGTCATGACAACCACAAGCAAACAGTTATAATCCCAATGTGTTGGTAACTAGAAAAATATCAGAGAAGTTCTCCAAGTCTTTTCAAGGAGTGATAAAAGGTGCCAGTATTCTGTTACCCACAGACTACAAAAGTAATAATATGAAGTCATTTGAATATAAACATCCACTTTGCTAACAACAAATTCACGTAAACTGAAGTACCAAATAATGTGCAGCCTCTGTCTCTAACCTACACAGGAACAACTGTTTGTTTCCTCAATCCAAATATTTGAGGACAATTTGGCCTAGAGTGTTACATTTTCTTTGGAAGATGCAGAGAGGTAAACTTTCCCATCAACACACATAAGAGTTTAGAAGTGGTGGTCATCCCCAAAATTAAATCTACCTATCTCCTCCAATAGGAGCTCTTGACCTGTACCCAAAGCTCTAACTTCTGGAGGTCAAAACCCTGACCTCCAAGTAATTCAGGTGTTTGAGGAAATGGCCCTTGCTTTGAGAGGATCAGGGAAGATACATTCCTAGAGTTCATAATTAGAACTTGGATTGCATTTTTCCTTATTGGAAAAAATGTAAATAAAAGTCAAAATGAAATGTTACTATTAATACTATATATCAAATGGCTTTGCATTGCAACTTCAGAACCCAATATTATATGATAGTGTTTCTATGTAGAAAGCAACTTATCAGTAAACTTTAAAAGCTAAATCTGTTTAAAATGTTAAGATTATCTGTGCTGTAATATATTGCAACTTACAAAGCACTTCAAATATTTAAGAATATTTTCTCATAAAGCTTTTCAGTTAATGCTCCTAACCATCCAATGTGTTTGGGAAGAAGCATGCTATTATTTTCATATTTCAAGGGGTGACATCCTTATAGAAAATGTAAATGACTTGCCTAAGCTCATCTATTCACTAACGATGTTTTCCTTTCATCAGCTAGCAAGGCCCACTATCTGCCCCATATTCCCAGCTGCTTATATGTCCAGCCCTGTATGTCCAAATTCTTATTATCCTTCATATTCCCAGCTTAAATACTTCTGCTTTCATGAAAAAAATCTCTTACACCTCCACTGATAGTATAGTTTCTTTCTTTGACCTCCTAGCACTTTATCTCTCGTCCCACCATGAGTAAACGTATTTGGAATCAGAAGATTTGGTTTAGGTTCTGCTTGGTCATTTACTAGCTGGAAGCAAGTAAACTAACCATAGTAACCATATGAATCCCAGTTTCCTCATTGGTATAGCAGAGAAAACAGAACATATGCTATAGAATTATTTGGACACTGAACTGTAATAAAACAACTCAGAAAGATAGATATATATATTCTATATTATGTGCAACTTTTATTTACTCTATTTGCTATGTGAAGGAAGAGTCCATATCTAATGAATACTCAATTTTGCCATAGAGCTCAATGGTGGTTCACAACTAGGCATTTGAGACAAATTTGTAAAAAGAATGAAGGAGCAAAGGTACGACTACATTTATCAAAGGGAGTTTCATAAACAAGAACACTCATTGCTATTTGCTAAATATGAAAGTCTATAATCTGACTCCAAACTCATTGCCCATTCCTTCCCCACTTCATTTCCCTAAATACACCCCGTACTTTTCTGGCTCTTGGTTTCGGCCCAAATGATTACCTTCTTTTACATCTTCTACCTGTTGAAATCATGCCCATCCTTACATGCCCAGCTCAGATGTCATTTTCTGCATGAAGCTGTCCTTATCCTCACCCATGGGAAATGAGCACTTGCAACTCTGCAGTGTGTAATATTTGTTCATATCTCTCAGCGCTCACATCATCTGGCCACATATTTCCTTGTGTATGTCTTATCTCATCTAGTACATTTTAATCATGCTAAGATCAGCATTTATGCTTCAATTATATTTATATCCCACAAAATATGTACCAAAATGCCTTCCATATAATAGGCACTCAAATAATATCTGTGGCTTAAATGCCTAGCTGCATGTTTCTGCCTTCTAAATTGCCACCAAAATGTGATGAATCCAAACATTTTATAAAATGTACAGCTATCAAGACGTGCCTGATAACAAAATAGAAACACATTTTCCAAACTTTAAAAGCTACATGTATAAAATCAAATAGTTACAATCTAATTTCCTTCATAATTCTAATGTAGCATGTTCTTATTAGTTACAACTTTATCAGTAAGGAATGGCTTATTTAAAAAGTTCATTTACTCAATATAACTTGTGGTTAAAAGATTAAAAGATACCTTAGAGAACAACCAAATGTTGATATATTTTAAATACATATCATTTTTATCTTTCAATATAATAAACATCCCAATTAACATAACAGTTACTGATAATCATCACTGTTTTATTATCATAACATAGAGTTCACTTATAACAAGAGTACATAAGCCTCGTCTCTGAGGGATAGTTAAATCACATAATCCTTCATTGCCTGCTGTTGGCTCCTTACTGGGCTGTTCACAGACATGATGCATGGACAGCCCACTAACCAGCTGTCCTCCAGATGGACTAAATGGGTTCTGTGCCTTCTAATTGGGGAGGGGCATCAGCTCTCTTTAAAATATAGACCTCCTCTTATAGTCTCTTAGACCCTAAGCCTCTTTCTCTCACTTTATTCATATTATTTATATTATTCTACCTTTACTGTATTATTTCCTAACTCCAGAGAAATTGTGAATTTTTATGCTTTTGTGTGCTTTCTGTCCCCTCCACCCACAATGTCCCCAAATCTCTACCTATGGAAATGCTTTTTTCTTTAGAGCCTTTAAATGTGGAGTTAATATTAATTGACTCACTGAGAATTACTTTTCAATCACCAATCTGAGTAGACCCTTGCATTCACCTTTGTCATCACTGGCCCCTTTATGATCTGATGTGTCAGGAAGGTTTACCTGGAGACTTGCCGATATAAACTGTGATACTGTTGAGAAGATACCCATCGATACCAAACCTGCTCTAATGACTTCTTTATTCTGTGAACTGACCTCTGCTGTTATCAATGACTCTCAACTAATGAGATGAGCATGGCCCCATTAGGTTATGTCAGAATCTCTGGCAGGAAAAGGGATGTGCTGTTTGAAAAAAAATGTATTCAATATTATATCAAAATTGTATTTAAAATTTGAAAACACTGTCTACTTTTTTCCTAATATAAATATGATCACAGATAAGAGTATCATAATTGTGGTAGGTAGGAGCATGAATTTAAATGATAAAGCAGTATCAGTGTACACAAAATAATAAATAATGTGGCTCTTACACATAATGTGAATTGATCTGTCAATCAATTCATGTTTGTTTTATACACCAAATTTATCCAAAATTGTGGCAACATTTTAGACTTATCCTTGGAAAAATGTATATATATGTGTGTGTGTGTGTGTGTATATATATATATATATATATATAATTCACCTCAATGGGCCTAAACTCTTCTTCTCTACCAACAATTGGTAGAGATGGAAAAAAGAAAGGTAGAAAGGAAGTAAGAAAGTCAGGAAGGAAAGAGAGAAGAACTATGCCATAGTATCATATAAGAGATAAACCAAGCATCATTTGTTAAAGATGGTAATACGGTTTGGAGTAGAGACTCCGTCAAAAAACGCACTCACCTCGGTTAAATGCGGATTGGGATTGAAACCACAGAGGCCACAGACAGTGGTCTGACACTCAGTGCAGGTGTTAAAATTGGCCTTTTCTGGAACATGCAACAGAAGTTCAGTGGTATTGCAAAGAGGACAGAGGGTTTTAGGGAGACCTTGTACTGGAGTCTGTGCTGCAGATGGAGAAATTGATGGTGGCTGCAGAGGTTTCCCAGCTCCTGTTTGGCTTACTGGTTTTGTAGACGGCTGAGCTGAGGGCTTTGCTGGGCCCGGCTGTTGAGCGGGAAGCTTTGCTGTGGCCGGCTGTAGAGCAGGAGGCTTTGCAGGGCCCGGCTGTAGAGCGGGGGACTTTGCAGGGCCTGGCTGTTGAGCGGGGGGCTTTGCAGGGCCCGGCTGTTGAGCGGGGGGCTTTGCAGAACCCGGCTGTTGAGCGGGAGGCTTTGCTGTGGCCGGCTGTAGAGCGGGGGGCTTTGCAGGGCCCGGCTGTAGAGCGGGAGGCTTTGCAGGGCCCGGCTGTAGAGCGGGGGGCTTTGCAGGGCCCGGTGGTTGAGCGGGGGGCTTTGCAGGGCCCGGCGGTTGAGCGGGGGGCTTTGCAGAACCCGGGTGTTGAGCTGGAGACTTTGCAGGCCCAGCCTGCTGAGCTGGAGACTGTGGCCCAGGTTGCTGAGCTGGGGGCTTTGGTGTCCCTGGCTGCTGAGCTGAGGGCTTTGCTGGCCCTGGCTGCTGAGCTGGAGTCTTTACAGTCCCAGAGGGCTGAGCTGGAGACTTTGGCCCAGGCTGCTGAGATGGAGGCTTCTCTGACCCAGCCTTCTGGGCAGAAAGCTTTGCTGTCGTTGGTGGTTGAGTTGGGGGCTTTGCTGTCAGTGGCTGAGGTTGGGGCTTCACTGACCCTGATGGCTGAGCTGAGGGCTTTGCCAGCCCAGGCTGTGGCATAGAAAGTTTCTCAGGTCCAGGCTGCTGGTCTGGAGGTTTTCCAAGACTTGTTTGCTGAATAGGTTTGGATGGGCTTTGTAGTGAGGGTTTAGCTGATTCTCCCCTTACTGTGTCTGGCTGTTTACTCTGAGGCCTGGTTGGGTCTCGCTGAAGTGGCAATTTTGCCTGGTCTGTCTGAGGAGCATGTGTAGGCCCCTGACTTGGTTTTCCTGTCCCTGGAGGTTGTGATTTAATTTTCTCTGGTTGCTGAGAAGATACTGGTTTGGGAGAGCCATCCTGCTGAAGTGGGGCCTTAAGAGGCCCTTGCTGCTTAGGAACTGGCTTGGGTAGCTGTTGTTGTGATAGAGGCTTTGAGATTCCTTCAGGTTTCCCTTGTTCTTTCTTAGCTACTTTTTGTTTCTTGGCAGTTTCTTCCTGGGATGCATCAGCATCTGGTATCAAATCAAATGGGTTTAATTTATTTACAACAGACGAGACAGCACTTAAAGGGTTAACCTCTGAGAGGAAGCCAGGCATCATACTCGACTTGTGCTCTTCCTTGAAATCAGTTCTGGACTTTGATTCTTTTAAGCTAATAGTGGAAGGACTCCTTCCAGGCAATTTCTGCTCCGACCTAAAAGTGTCTGTAGTTCTACTTTTACTGAGACCAGGCTGAGCTGGACGCCCAGGGTCCGGCGGTTTCCCTGGTTGCTTTGGAGGGTGACTACTATCCAATTCTTGTTTTCTACAAGAGTGAAAGAGAAAGAAATGAAAATAATGGAACTTATCTCAAATAAAAGTAATGTTAAAAGCTACTGCTTTCTTATATCCTTAAAACTATACATGCATAAATATAATTAAAATCAATTTTTTGTACCATTCTGTAAATTATCAGAAAAATTTTATCGCTTTAGTTACTTTCTTTACATGGGTAAAGACTTCTAACAAGAAGATGAAGAAAAGAAAAAACAATACTTCCTACTATAAGTGTTGAAAAATTAAATTAAGATATCCAGTTAGAATATGCTTATAATAAAAATAATTCACATTGACACTTAAGAGACTCTGGCCATCCTTAAAACTTAATTAAATATATAAGTTCAATAAATCAATGCAATATCATGTTCCAGCAAGTATCTTTTTTTTATCACAAGTTTTAGGTCAAAGAAAGTTAGTTCCCCAAATAACAGCAATACTTGAGATATATCCAAATAGCAATGAGCTGGACTGTAATCTCACTTTCAAAAAGTACTGTACTTTTTTCAGATGAAGAAAATCCTCAGACAAAGCAAGTACATAATGATCTCTTTACTCAATGCTTGCCTCATCATTTATTTAGATATTTATATCATCTTAGCAATATTTTATTATTGATATTGATACAATCTAAAATTAATTAATCTGTGAGATTTATTTTAATTCGTATACCAATATACAAGATGGATTTTTAAAAAGTTTTGGAAACATGATAAATTTTAAATGACTATGGTTAAACGATTAAAATAGTTTTTTCTTATCATACATATATTTCAACCAAAAGTCATATTGTGTACATTAACTTTTAAAATAATCCATTCTTTAACTGATAAATTTGCAACTAATAAGAGCCTGCTGCATTAGAATTATAGAGGAAATCAGATTATAAGTACTTTGTATATATGTAGCTTTTTTAATTTTGGCAAAGATAAATATTTCTATTTAATGAAAACAAACAAGGAGAAAGAAACAGCATCAGTGGCAGCTAAAATATGAGATGATCACAATAAAGTTCTACAGACTCCAATTTGCTTTTTTCAAATTTTAACTGATAATGGATCAGAGTATGAACTTTCAATTTCATTCCATCTGATACTTAATATGAACTAAGTTTTTGAGAACTTCCCTAAAGACACAGCAATTTGAGTATAAATCAAGGTGTAAGATGTAGAGCATAGTAAAAAGAAACTGAGAAGCATTACTTCTAAATTGCAAAGACCCAGAAAGGAAGAAAATAATTTATACACATGGCAATGTATGCACAAAGTGATTTACCAGTAAAAGATAAATAAACGGAATTTTTAATTCTAGAAATTTCCTCCTAGAAAAAAAGTTACAAACAATTTAGATTTTACCATGTCTCTGAAGCTTTTACTTAAACAAAGCGCTAAAACTGTTACCCAAATAAATCCCAAAGATTCTAAGATTTTAAAATGCATCACTACATATTTCCATTTCTGGCAAAATAATTGTGAACGTTTCCTTACATCTCTTCTTCCCTGTTCCCTTCCACGTAAAGGCAAGGGAATTAGAGTAAATGCATTACTCAGAATAGATTATTATCAGATATTCACTGTTCAGATCTTTGCAATATTCTAGAAATGCTCTACATTCAATTAATATATTGCACCCCTCATTTTAAGGGCACACGCTAAGGGATTACCTTATAGATGTGAACATCCTATAACTAATTATTTAAACATTTAATTGAATTAGTTCCCTTAAATAGAATCCAAGATATCCATCCTTAAACAGAGTACAAGAAATCGATCTTTCATTTTACTAAATTGTCTTCTGTTTAAAGTACTATTAAACTTTTTTATATCAGTTTTTGTGGCATTGTTTCACTTAATTCAACATATAGGCAAAACAAATAAAAAATAAACTTCATGAACACCAAGTATTTGTGATAACAGTAAACACCAAAATTGAAAGCAAGCTGCTTGCACTGGAAATTATAATTGCATGTACTTCCTACAAATATAAGTTACATAATAGAATTGCCCCTGGCAGAAAATACCTGTACAGGTATAAAGACACTCCAAATGAAACTTAGTTTTAGTTGCTATAATTATGGAAATAAAGTAAAACATGGAGATCTGGGAATGAAGAACAGAAAGAAAATCATTAAGATATCAGCTTAATGATGGAATAAAAAAAAAAAGTAAAGATATCTAGGCTAACTGTGGTCTTTCGGTGAATTGTTGTTTGGTATAACAGTTGTTCTGTTAAAAGGGAAAGTTAGTAAAATGCAATCTGTGTCTTCTGTGCTATACTGTGAACTCCCAGACAGAGAATTAGTTTCACTCATCTCTACATCACGAGAACCAAATCTAGCAACTAATATATGAGCATTAATGTTTGATGGATGAATGAAAGAATAAGTGATTGAATGAATGAACATATCAGGTTTATGTTTTACTCTAGATTAACATCTCTTAAATTCTTTTTTGCTTCAGATGCTTCTACAGGTCTTCTGAGATAAAAGTGGATACACTCCATATTCATTTTAGAGCCTGACTTTGACTTGCTGCCTTAGGAAGAAAAATAGTTGTGGAGGTGTCTACCTAGTAGAGGAGGCCCAAAGGACTGTTAAAGGCATTAACTCAATCAGTCAGAATTATAAAATGTCCTACTAATCAGAAGAGTTGTTTGGTAAAACACTTCTCATATGACATAAACGTAGTTGTACACAGAATGAGTAAAAGTAACAAAATTGAATTTTCCCTGGGTCTACAATGAATCAAAAATCTAGAAGCATTTCATATGTGACCTGTCTTCTGCTTCTAGCTTGTAACTATTCATGTTCCTTTTCATTTTGCTGTTTTCATCCTCAAATCTGAATTTTTCCCTCATAGGTTAGCAGGAAAAAAATTCCAGCTACAAATATATGCAACTCTAAGAATTCAAAAGCAGTTGGAATACTAAAATATTTTTTAAATGTAACACAACAGGCAATGACACTTGACAGTGCTGAGTCACATAAAATTTTATAACGTTAGAAACACAAGTAAACTTAGGAATATCTATTTATTTTTATACATTAGAGGATATTGAGACTTAGAGAAGCTAAGAGACTGATTCAAGATCATAAAACTAGTTAGTCAAAGAAATCTGGTGTCCTGACTCCTGGCTAGGGGTGAGGGTAGGGGTAGGGACTTCCACTGCATCACACTGACTTCTCCATATGCAAGAGATATAAATGTGTCAAAATAAATCATCACAATGAATAATTCAATATATAATCTGGCTGTAGCTATCACTGACAGTGCCATCCATTGCTGATATATTACCACTCTTTATATCTGCAGGGTTCCTTCAAATTAAAAAAAAAAAAAAGCTGTCAATTTTTAATTGATCCTCACAATTACTTTATTAGCCATGTAGGACAGGTATTACTTGCCTTATTTAGAGACAGGGAAACTGAGGCACAGATTTGTCGAGAGGCACATGGAATTTGCCACAAGTTAGTTAAAATCAATCAGCAATAGGTTAAGAACCTAAGTCTCTGGGCATTCAACACTTATTTCTTTAAAAAAAAAAAAATCAAACTCAACCATATTTAATTCACACCACTAAAAGGAGCCCTGGTGATGCAATGGTTAAGCATCTGGCTGCTAACTGAAAGGCTGGCGGTTTGGACCCACCTAGCAGCTCCACAGCAGAAAGACCTGGCAATCCGCTTCCATAAAAATTATAGCCAAGAAAATCCTATGGGGGCAGTTCTACTCTGTCACATGTGGTCAATATAAGTCAAAATAGATTCACTGACACCTAAGAACAACCTCTTAAAACTTCAAATAATTTGAATATACTTTCTCATATATATCTAAATTCACATTATTCTAAAAATCTAAAAGATAAACCAATAGTTTTTTTTTTTTTTGGTTATCACATATGGGCTTATCAAATATGTGGTTGATAGTTTTCTAAAAACTAAAACACCTTTTATAGAAATCTTTCAGTAAATTATAAGCAGGCTACAAAACTCAGAAACTTGTTATTTTTTAGTACAAAATGATGCTTTCAACAATAACTGTTTAAGCCACAGATTACCTATTAATAAGAATTCCACCAGAACACAATTATCAATGGAAAGCTTAAAATTATACTACCTGATACAAATACTTCATGAAACAACATAGAATGAAATAATATTTTTTAGTCATCCTCTGAACAAAAAAATGTTAGGAATTTCGATATCAAAGCTCACATTCTTGATATTCGTAACCAGCATGTTATACCTGTTGCTTGTGCCTCTTAGAAAGATTTATAGAGTAGCTGGCAACATTTCTAATAGACTAATAAAACTATTATACCTTGTTACTATCTTTTGAAAAAACAGTGAATCAAGATTCAGAATTTTTTTCTACGTCAAGATTTCATCAAATAGAGAAAAACAGTACATACCATAAACTGTACTATTAAGGTAAGGGATAAGAAAGGCTTTATACTGAAGAAATAATCCCATATATTACTAGTTTAAAAACACAGAAAAACATAAAAAGACTAGTTTTTTTTTAGCATTACTGGTAGTTTACTTTTAAATATAAATAATGTTACTTTCCTGATAGACTTTGAACATTTCCTATTTGGGGTGAAAAATATTGTCACTCCATGAAACATTTTACACTTCTCGTAAAAAATATTAAATTTAATACTACAATCATTTGAAAAATTATATGCATATACTTAAATGATGCTAAGTTAAGATGCTTTCTTAATCAAATAGGGATAAAAATCTACACCTATATGTCTATGTCTCGAATTGCCAGTACCTCAAAGAAAAAATTAGTTTCCCCTTAAAAAGTTGTCATAAAGCAAGAATGGCTTTCAGGACCATGGACAGAGAACTGTTCTCCTGGGGATGGAGCCAAGTTAAAGGGTTTGTTTACAATAATAAAGGCAGGGCAGGCACAATGATTATACCCTCTTACTACTCTAATCAGAAAGCAACTAATTTTAGGAATGAAGGAAAATAGAGAGCTAGAGAGGGAAATTCATAAGCTAATATTACAAATTAGCTCTTACAATTGCTTATGCAAGTTGTCATTTGTCTTTAAAAGAATATGCTAACAATTTTAGATAATGAAATTCCACACGTTCTGTCATAAACTGAAGGCCACTTTGGCATATAAAAGGCAGTGATTTTAAAAAAAAACAGCATATGCTAATCCAGAAATACAAGCACAGCACCTGCTATGCTGTGGCCACACCAACTCCTTAATGCCACATGTTTTAGGGTCCCTCACTGAATATAAAAGGTATATTCATTCCATACCTTCTACCTAAACAGCTTCTGTTCTATGGGGGTAGGATGGAGAGGAAGGACAAATCATCTCTAGGGATATTAAAGGTGTTGTTCAAGAAATAATTATACATTAGTTACAGAAAAAAAAGACCTCAAATGTCCGAAGAGGTTTAAATAGAGACAGGTAAACACCCAGTCCCATTTCCCAACACGTCCGTGTTGTATTAATGGAAGACTTTCAGATTAGTAAAACACTGGAGGGCGTCTCTCCATGCCAACCTAGAGGGAAAAGGTTCCAAAAGGCCAGAAATCACAACCTACAATCGCTGTTCCAAGAATGCAACCCTTGACTATCCCATCAGAAACTCTACAATGCATCATTTTCATTCTGCCAATCAGAAGGCTTATGATCTCTTTATATAGCCACCCCATTAGGGAGAATAAAATGAACGGAGGCGACATATATGTACCGCCGTGCTGGCACATACGGGCTGGCACATATGTGCACGGAAGCTGTACATATATGCCTGGACATGTGTATCATGCTGTGCGTGCCTGTGCATGGAAGGCGACTCCGCAGCGGCAGGGGTAACGCTTCCCTTGGGCAGCCCCTGCGCCCTTGACATGACAGCGGTGATCTGTCTCCTCTCCTCTTCGCTCAGCTGGCTCAGATCCGCCTCCATGCCGACCGGGATCACGGTGTGCAAAGGGCTTCCCGCCCCGCCCTCCCCTTCTCCGGCGGCCGCCGCCGCCGCCGCCGCCGCCAGCCCTTCGGGGAGCCCTTCCCCTTCCAAGCTCGCCTCGTTGCCCATGGCTCAAGGAGGCTCCGGGCCGCCGCGCTCCCTCCCAGTACTGCGTCCCCGTCGGGAAGCCCGCGGCCCGAGTGGCAACTGGCGCCGGGGTCCACCGCGGGGCGTACAGGCGGCCGCGTCCCCGGGCTAGGGGCCGGGCACCTCTGCTCGGAATGCCAGGAGGGGATTAGTCCTTCTCGCAGGTGATGCCCGCCGCCGGTGCCTCCTCCATGTTGGACAGCTTGAGGCAACGTTTGCAGAAGACGCCTCCCCGACGCCGCCTCAGCGACCTTAGCCGGTGAGAAACAGATCTGAGCTGTGCGAGCCGGGCGCCGTCGGCCCCTCCCACAGCGCCCCGCCTCCCCGCCCGCGCCCTCGCACTGCGCATGCCCTTCACGGAACAGGTGATGCTCGCGCTTCGCTTCCACCCCACTCTGCGTCGTCCTGTGTCCTTCATTCTCTGCACTGATTTAAAGGAGCCCAGCAAGAGCACAGCTAAACACCGAGACAAAACAGCCGGAGTTTCTTTCAGGCATATTTCAGGGTACCTCAACCTCAATTTTAGCAGACTACATTCAAGGGGGAGGGGCAGGGAGGGGCTGGAGGAGGAGTGTCCGTTGTCAGCTTTGTCTCGTGGGATTTGTAGTTTCGATTTAAAAGAGGCTTTTTGTGGACCCGGGGTAGTATCGCAGGATCCAGAGTGTAAAATATTAGTGCTATAGTCGTGTGAAACTTGGAGAGCATTGAATTCAATCTTTTTGTGTGTGTGTGTGTGCAAATTAGAACAGAAGAACCCAAAAAGATGAATTAACGTTTATAGAGCACACAGCTAGTTGGCAGCAAATGTTTGACTGGTAACCACTCTTTCAGACTCACCCAGCCCCAATTCCTCTGTCCGCCACCCTAGTCCCACACCCTCCCACACACACTCATACTCTCTTTTCTTGCTACTATATTTCTCAGATGGATATGTTTTAGTTCAGCACTGGCTTTGTGGCCTCAGTTTTGCTGCCTACTCTTCCTCACAAAATGGACTTAATGTTCTAAGTGTTGAGGTTGAAGAATATCAAAAGCTAAAAATTGGAAAAGAATAGGTAAATCAAATGGAAATTATTAAATTGCTCAGAAAACATGTTTCGAAGTTTTAGCAATAATTAATCATTTTAATGGTTTGATATTATGCATTTCGCTTGTATCAAAAACTGTAAAGTGACACAGTTATAACAATCTGTGACTACGTTTATTGCTTTTAAAGATGATTAGCTGTCAGATGAGTTCACATTACTGGTTAAGTCCTAGAAAAACGTTGCATAAACTTGATTCTCTCATACGATTCTGAAATGTGACTTCCAAAGTTAAAAATGCTAAGACTCATCCATTTGATTAAAGAAAAGAAAATGTTTCTAGTTGATATAAACAAATCAAGCCGAAGCAACCTAACATTCTGATGGCCACCTTTGGACGCAAATACAATATGGTCATACCTCTTAGGAGTGAGCTTGCTTCAAAGTACGGTAGCATAATCAAATGCACAATCCAGGATCATATTGCCCTCTTTGACAAAACTAGTAACTGCTGCATGGTTCAGGCTGTCTTGGGAATCAGTAACACTCTCAAATGGTGGTAGGAACAGGGAGAAAATTCACATTCTGGCTAATTTTTTTATAATATGCCCAAGCTTTGCAAGAATAAAATATATTTGATACATTCACATCTACCCACATTCACAGTCACATATTTGATCACTCAGACAAACCACAAGCTTCAAAATTTAATAAAATAAATACCCTTTCAAACTGCTGGCTTAATAACAATTAAGCTGAGAAAATGTATTGTTTAGCCCCACATTCTCTTCCACTGTACATGGAAAGGAGCCTGTGAAGTGACAAGAGAGAAATATGTGGTAATATGAAAAATAACGTTGATAGGCTAAACAAAAGGTAATAATTGGTAAATTGGAAATATTATAACTCATTGTGCAAACATATAGATTCATCTTCTCCTTCCCTCCTCTGCCCCAGGAGCAAACATCATCAGAAACAGGAAAATGAGACATATGGTAGAAAGAGTAAATGGACTGTGAAACCAGGAAATCTGATGATGGCCCTTTGGGGACATTTTGATTGTTGACTTTTAAAAATGATTTTGCCTTTGAAGCCTTTAACTGTGAGTTGTGAATGAAGTTTCTTATTTTCAATCCTTCATTTAGGTATAAGGTTGCTTGTACTTGGGAGGTGCTTTTGAAATAGAGGAACACTGTGGCAGAGTCCAGGGAAGACACTTAAATTTGATTGCTTAGGATTTTCTCTAGGACCAAAGGAAAAAGAGAAAAATGACCTATTTACTTGGGTTGAGAAGAAATAAAAAAATTCAGAACAGAAGTTATATTTTAAAATAATGATTGCTCTTTTTAAAGGGCATTCTTTATATGTGAATTTTTAGAAATTCAAGGGTAGAAGGATGAGGAATCAAACACTGTACAGAACTTTATAGAGCTTCTCCTTGCTTATAATGTTTGTTTTGTTCTTTTTTTTTCACAAAGAAGTAAAATTGGGTATAACTATATGATTGTTTGTATATTATGGAAGTATTAATTTCAAATCATAATGTGGAAAAAGTTTCACAAAATATATTAGGTAGAATTTTCAAAATGTGCAAAAAAAAAAAAAAAAACGAAAAACAAAAACTCCCCCATTCAAAATAGGAGCTAAATCAAAGAAACCAACAACAACAATAATCTCATAGAAATTTAATGTCAGGGCCATAGGTAATACTACTTTTTGTGTTTAATTTTCTCTAATTTCCAAATTTTCCAAAGTGAATCTGTGGCATTTCTATAGTGTAACAATGCCAATAATTATTGCTAATCATTTTTAAGTGACCAAAAAAATACAAGTTCTTATGCTAGGGAGCCTAAATGCTAACATCTTTTGTAGCAAATACCCTCCTCATTTAAGAAAATGCAAAAAAATTGTATTGTATATCCTGCAATGATGTTTTTATGTGACCTGATGAGAGAAAAACTCAAACTATTCTTATTCTCAATTAAATTATTCTTATGTAAAAGTTCATGCATTTTTGCATACATGTGGATGTATATATTCATGTTTGTGTAAATATAGACAACATACCTTATAATTTTTATACAGGCACATATGCATATCTTTAAATGTTCCTTCTCTAATAGAAGGTGAGACAGGGTTTTGTTCATTTAGTAGAGCAAGAAGTTTCAGTGGCATAAGGTCCAAAACTTCATTTTTTGTTATGGTTGAGCTGCTTCTGAATTGCTACTCTCAGCCATTTTTGTTAGCTCTGCTTTAAAATGGGATTTACAGCTAGACTGGAGGAAATTCAAGTGAGATTACAGTTGATTATGAACTGTCTTCTCAATTTTGAGGGAAAAAACATGAAGTGTGGTAGAGAAAAGGTTGATAAAGTTAGAAATTGGTAAAATTTATTTTTTAATTCGGACATCTGAAACATCAGGCAGATTCTTTTATTTTAAACTTACTGCAAAGTAAATCTGTAATTTAAAATAAAGTCACTTGTCTTTAAAAACATGTTCCTAGAGACACGTGATATGTAAAATATTAAGAATAAAAATTGATTCTGTGTCACTACGTAATACTTACATTGTTAATTGAAAATTATTAATAAGCCATTAGGTTATAATTTAGATGATTTAACATCATTTATTTCCCCATTTTATAAATGAACTTTAGAATTTAGAATCTGGTTTTTGAAAAGCTGGGACATGTATGCAAGTCTTATTCTTCATGACGTTTCATTGATAACATTTGACTAACTCATAGCTCTGGCATCATCTAGCTATTTAAATTGAGCAAATCATTGATTTTTTTCTGATCTTGAACTTCCTCAACTTTATTTATTTAATTTTTTTTGGACCCACATTTTTTTTAATCAAATTTCACAATATCAGCTACACCTGTATACTCGAACTTAAAAGTCATACATTGTTCAATTAAAATTCATTGTCATATTTTACGTCAAATGAAATACTGTGGAAAATAGAAAAAGTAGATGTAGTTTAAAAAGAGAACAAAAATTACTAAGTATAGTTCAATGAGTTGTTGAAATTAATAGATTGAATGAGATATACAAAGGTAAAGCATAAGGTAAAAATGAACAAAAATAAAACAAGATGGAAAAAGAGAAGCCCATAAATAGAAAATGGGGAATTTTTTTTATCAGGGAATTCCCCTATTTATAAAAGATCCATAAAAATCAGAAAACATTGAATTCATAAGACATATTTGTAGAAAATTCATAATATATTATTTCAGTATTGTAGTTAGATTTAGTCCCCTGCTTTCTACTTCACTAATATTAGATTGCACACATTATTTACCATGTTATTATTTTTTTATTGTTGTAGTTTAAATGAAGTTTACATTTCAACTTAGTCTCTCATACAGAAGTTTATACATACATTGTTATGTGACTCTAATTGCTCTCCCCATATTGTGACAGCACACTCCTCCTTTCCACCCCTGATTCCCCATGTCCATTCAACCACCTCCTAACCCTCTCTGCCTTACCATGTCACCTCCAGACAGAAGCTGCCCATTTAGTCTCTGGTATCTACTTGAGCTAAGAGGCGTACTCCTCAAAAGTATGACTTTATCTTCCACAGTCCAGTCCAATCCCTGTCTAAAGAGTTGGCATCAGAAATTGTTTCATTTCTGGGCTGATAGAGAATCCAGGGGCCATGCTTTCTGGGGTTCCTCCAGTCTCAGTCAGACCATTAAGTCTGGTCTTCTTACTAGAATTTGGGTTCTGCACCCCACCTTTTTCCTGCTCCATCCGGGACTCTCTGTTGTGTTCCCTGTAAGGGCAGTCATTGGTGGTAGCTGGGCACCAACTAGTTTTTCTGGTCTCAGGCTGATGAAGTCTCAGGTTTATGTGGCCCTTCCTGTCTCTTAGGCTAATACTTTCCTTGTGTCTTTGGTGTACTTCATTCTGCTTTACTCTAGGTGGTTGGGACCAATTGATGCATCTTA